CATTACAATCTAATAAGAAAAGATAACAATACTAAAAAAAAATAAAAATTTACATGAATAAAAACGTTAAAATTATTAAATCCCCCCCTTCCCAAACCCAGCCAAACATATATATATATAAATAAATGAATGAATAAAATAAAGATATTCAAACAAATAAAGAAAAATCTAATTAAAATATGACATCTTATAAAAATAAGACTTTAGGGCTGTCTTAAATTTGACAAGAGAAGAGATGTTGCGAATGTCCAGTGGTAGCCCATTCCAGTACAGTTTTGGAGAAGCAATGCAAAAAGATCTATCGCCAAGCATCCTTAGAGACTTGCATGTGGGATTGTTGAATGGGGGGAGGGAGGGGTACAATTTATTCCTGCTAAAGGAAGGGGGGCACAATTTTTATTGCCATTAAGTGGGGGGGATCTTCAAATTTTGGAGTATTTTTGAAATTTCCTCTGCCCCCCACCTGCGGTATACATAATGAATGCAGCCTTACTGAGATGCAAGTAAATTAGTGTGTTTTTTTTTGTTTGATTGCATTAGTAGCTTTGCATTGTATAAAGTTAACATGACTTAACAAAAACCTAAGAAATTATTTATTGCTATCCATCCCAAATCATTTACAATATGGTTAATTATAATAACACATATCATAAAATAAAGCTACCTTGAAAGACCTTTTAAACTCATATTGATTTCTGTAAATGATTGGAAGGTTACCAAAAAAAGCCTGCATAATTATCTAAGATTTGATTATAAAACATCATGAGATTAACTTCTTAAAATAATTGTAAATAGTGAAAACTAAAATCTATGTACGAAAATAGACATCAAGTCAAGAGAAAAAAAGATCAATTGTTTAATATGTAAATACCCAAGAGAAGTGATATGCAATAAAATGGATTGTGACATGAAAAGGTTGCTCTAACAGAGTATAAGTGTTTAGACTGATATACAATATTTCAAAGATTAAACAGTTGAAACGTTGCCTTTTAGTATTTTTATACAGTCCTTTGAAAAAATGTTGCTGTTTACCTGCTTCATGACTGTGCGACTAGCCCAACGGGAGTATGGGTAAAAATCACTGAAGCAATACATTTTTAGCTCATACTATAGAATATAATCAAGGAGAGCTGTATCAGCTTTAATGAATGTGTGCTTTTGCGTTCTGCGAAGTACAAAAAATAATAGCAAGTAAATAGCTACTTCTTCAGTTTTCAGGACTTGTGTCATCCGAACCACTTGCATGCAAAGATTTAACTTAAGTGCTCCTCTTTACTGGCATTTGCATTGCTACGCGGCCACCCCAGACAAAAATCGTGACGTGCACTTTGCAATAGACTGCCGTAAATCAAACAAGTTGAGGTCATTTACACACATTGGGATGGGCCCCGGATAGGCCCGGTGAGTGTGGCTCATAATACTTGTAAACAGTCGACAAGTTTTGGCGCCTTTTGAATCACACACGCGTGTAAATGGCGTCAACGTGTTTGATTGACGGCAGTCTATTGCAAAGTGTACGTCGCAATTTTTGTCTAGGGTGGCAGCGTAGCAATGCAAACGGTAAATAAGCAATTTTAAAACTGCAAATTTCTTTCTTTAATTAAAGSTCTTAAATAATGTTTTAGAAGGCTGTTGTGGGTGTTTTCAAAAGCTCAATTCCTGTGAATGTTAAGTAGTTTAAAGCAAGCAAATATATTTTCTAACATTGATAAGGGCTAACATTGTCTACCTGTGAAAATTTTTTCAAAGATTATTATTTGAGATTGTGTCTGTAAAATAATGTGTTGCCAACATTATGTGAAAATTTTGCCTGAAACTTGAATTGTTGCTTTAAAATTCAATTTTAAAGTTGCTCTATAGTAGTAATCAAGAAGATGGTACGTAGTGATATCCAGATACATCACTAGTTTAAATTACAGTGAGTTCCTTTGTGTTTATCATTGATTTAGATGTGTCACTAGACTAACCACAGGAAGCCCAACCAATAGATTTATAGTATGACTATAAATTCAATCTTTATTTTGTCCAAAACATCAGTAAGTTTTTTCATCTTTTTATTTTGTATAATTTGCCTTTTTATCATTACTGTTTTCACTAGTTTTTAGCTAGCTATCTCTTCTCTTCAGGAAGCCTACTTCACATAATTTGTTTTACAATAGGGTCCTGCTATATGAATAAAACCAATTTAAAAATGAATATAATTCTAAAGAACTAAATAAGACTCTAGTCCTCCAACAACAATTTTTCATCTTTTCACGATTTAGAATTTACTTCCTTTGGTTCTTTGTGCACCGTCACTATCACGTGATGGTAAGGTTCAACCTCAAACGCAAACCAATAAATATTCTATGGAGTTTCCAAACCATTCCACTCCATTAACTATGTCCTCAATGAGCAAAGTCCAAAACTCTAATCCAAATGAAAATTGTATTTGGTATTCGTTGGTCCAGAGATATGATTTTTCAATACCAGTCATTCAGTCATTTTGTTACTATTTTTAGAAACAAAATGGCAGACGTTTCATTATATACACACCGAACRCACAATTTATTACTACTATACTATGTTTATAAAATCATGTCTTTAGACCAACGTATGTGACCTTTAATTACACTAAAATATATAATGATTAACAAGGTCAACTTTAAATAAAGTTTGATTTACTTTTAGAGACGAATGTCCAATTGGAGATGTCTGTCCGGGGTAGAGATGTGTTCATTATTCAGTCGGGACAAAGGTAATTGTGAATTACTATAAGTTTCTTTGAATTTTCTATGATATTTTATAATAAACCCATTCAACTTGCATTTTAACTGACATTTGGGTTCCTTCCCAACGCGTATGGAGTTTAGGGATGAACTGATTGCTGTAATTCAGACAACATGCCATACATACTAAAAATGTTCTCTACTATGTATATTCGCTGTCCAGCACCACAGGGAACCCATCTTGAAACATCGGTCAAAAATGTGGTTGAAAATGTGGTTGAAATTGCAATCATGCTAATTAAGACTAAAAATAACATTCTAGAATTGCCCAGATTACACAAAGTCATGAAAAAGATATATTACATCTGAACAATCAACCATTGCCAAAGAACTTTCTAGACTAGTATGTTGGTGCAATACATGTACAAGGAGTTTCAGAAAAGATAATTTATAGCTCAACTACTAGAAAGTTTTATGAAACTTATTGTATATTCTCTTTGAGTTTTCCACAAGTGAATGTTTTGATGCATGCTGCATCTTGCATGTTGCTTGAAATGTATTATTATGCACATGCAAATTATTGCATTACAGAATAAAGCATTCCGCAAAAAAAAAATCCAGACAAAAGTTAGAAAGATTCTATATTCATTGTAAAATTTTGCTTATTGGATTTGCATTGACTGTAGAGTAGTTGGGGCTTGGTATGCAATCTTTATTGAGATAGCTGTATGCATGCATATAACCAAGGGATTGGCAATTTAGTCCACTTTGGGAAGTTATTTTATTATTGGGGTAGGGGGAAAAACATTTTTGAAAAGTTTTATTTCTATGAATAGAATTTATTGGGAATCAAAATTTATTTGGAATCAAATTTTTTACCTACCGGATAAAAACAATACTGGCACATAGTTCAGGGCTTGAAGAATTCAGGGCCAGACCCAGGAATTTTAGAAGGGGGTAACTATTACAAAGGTTTACCAGGAACTCGAGAAAAAGGGGGGGTGACTGTTACTAACAATAATTATACTGTCGTGAGAAATTTGAGGAGAAGGGGGGTGACTATAGTCACCTACTTCAACACCCACTGGATCCGCCCTTGGAGTTATGACTGCAAATTTCTCAAAAATCAGATATGGTTTAGCCTGCGTACCATTCAGCCTTTTCTTTCAAAGTCCGTATTTACGAAGAAAATTTCGAATGTGATGCAGGCTCATATAATTTTGATGCAAAAAGAAGCAATAGACCAGTTTCGAATTCAAGATTACCGCTGTGTTCCTTGATTACAGCGTCATTTTTTGCACAGGGTTAGCCTCGAGTTTGTGCAGAATATTCACGTGTTCCAGTCAAGGTCCGTTGGGTTTCAAAATGTTTGTATTGTTGAAGTTGTGCATTCTTTGCTTTACTGTTGGTATTTGTGAATATTTAAACACAGATACTAGGCTAACCCTGTGTAAATGAGTCTGTGATCAAGGAACACAGCGGTAATTTGGATATACTTTAAGTACCCAGGGAACAGTTTACCAAAGGGCGGTTTGATTGACATAATAGGAGGGTCATGAATTTCTTTCTGTCCTGAGTGAGTGAAAGAGGAAGGAGTATACAACAATTTAAAAAATTAATTCCTGTCTTTCGTTGAGGAGGCTAGTTTTGTCGGCTTTAGTAATGTAAAGCTTTTCTGTTAGGTAGAGATTACACCTTCTGGAGATGTTCTTGTATCAACTTGCTGAGGCTATCATTGACCAGTTTGTCTTGTTATTTCTCTTGTCGTCTTTTAGTTTCCAGATGTATTTTGAGAGAAACAATAGTTTCTGTTGCGTGTGTCATTGTTTGAATATACTTTCTGTCAGTCCGATGTAGTTTTTCACTGTGTTGTCTTCATCAGTCGTTACACGTGTTTTTTATACAAGGCTGGTTGAAACACAGTTGTTGTCGAGTGGGCATTGTTCTTTATTTCTGCAGTTTCATCTGTCCTAAAGGGGGGTCTGGTTGTTGATTATTTTCTTGTTATGTTGGTTGATTATGGTTGCTATGTTACCCATGCAGCTGTAACTGACTTTTACATTGTTCTTGTCGAAGATGCTGTGGAATTTGTGTCCCTGGGGGAAATGTTTCTGGATAAGGTTTAAAAAGGTTTTGTCGATGTTGGTTTGGTTTTTGCTGTATGCAGGGTTTAACCAGATTGTTTCTTTTTCTGTTATTTCTTGTTGGTGTAGAAGTATTTTGGCTTGAGGTGTATGAGAGGTTTTTGGTAAATCCGGAAACACTTCCCCCAAGGACACATAGTCTACAGCACCTTCAACAAGAACGATGTAAAAGTCAGTTAGTATATGTAATAGGACTCCATGCTGTCCAATTAAGAAATAATTGGAGGAGGAAAATTCCAATTTGGCAGTCAGAGGAATTTTTCAAGTCTAATTATTTCTTGATTGGACAGCATGAAATCCCATTACCTATTAATTATATAGCTGCCTAATTAATCCCATATCAACAAGACCTGTTTACCTATATGGGATTAATGAGAAGCTGTATAATTAAATATGTTATATGTAATATATACAGCCTTATGCAAAAACTTTGACCCTCTTGTATATGTATATTATAAGTAGTATCAAAAGTATACCAGAAATTATGGGATATCATTCCTGTTATTTTTTTTCGAGTTGTCTATCACTAGGACTTTCTGGAAAAATATCAGGGAGGATATTGCATAACGTTTGATGTACTTTTAATATACTGGTAAGTATAAACGAAGTGAAATATACAAATACAACGTGACTATCGGCATTTTTAAGTCTTCGTCAGCCATGGTTGCCATGGTTTGAATGAATGTAACGTTTTATAGTGTCAAAGTAACAAAAAAGAATTTTTACAACGTTTATAAAATGTTAAGGACTTAAAAACCTGTTGGTCACAGGTTTATCTCTTCTTGGGATTGACTGCATATACATTTATATATTATTAAACTTTCTTTTATTGAATACTAATTGGGATGAATATTACTAATCATATGTAAATTTGTGTCTATCAAAATATTTAAGTGAAAAGTCGTCATGTAATGATGCACTTATGGAGTTGCTCATTATGGCTCATACATGCAAGATTGCCTGCGCAAGAAGAATAATAGGTTTGTAAACACCAAAAGAACATGTAAAACATTACTATATTTAATTTGTTTTTCTAATATATATTTTTTAATATTTCTGTTGCCTAGGTGTTATTCCTTATCTACCTTACTCAAAACAGAGTAAAATGAATAAAAGAGGATCAATTCCTGCCAAACTTATTGCATCACTGATGTGTAAATCAGGTACAAGCAGAGAAAACATTTTTTTGGATTTAATGAACCAGATTTTCTAAATGGGATTGGACATGTTATATGCCAGCAAGATACTATTTTGCGCAAGCCATGGTTGCAAGCCATTAGTACACGTCATGAGAGCTTTGCGAAAACTTACATGCATTCTTACATAATTAACAAATAGATCAGGCTTAGCTATGTTCACTTTTCACACAACTATAGTAATCTAAAGACTTAAAAAACATAAGTGAAATCTTTGACAAGATATCAAAACGCATAACTTTACTAACTAGGCTTGAAATCATATTTCTCGAAATCAAATAGAGAGATTTCTTTCCATTTCTCAGAAGGACTATTGGAATAGTAGCACAGCACTATGACCCAAAAAAAGCTTTTCCCAAGTCCAGTAAGAAAATGTTTCGGTCACATGAACTAATTGCTTTGGATTGTTTACATTTTTGTTGCGCAAAAGTTCAGATGGCAATTATTTCAAAATGCTTCCATACAACTCTTCGAAACTTCGTTTACTTGAAGACAAACATATGAACTTTAAGAACTTTTAAACCATTTTTTAAACAAACGTCTGATTTTGCTAAAAACGGAATGTATAAAAAAATGACATGACGTCACTGTATTGCTATGGTAACTCCGATCGTGATAAATTGTAAAACATGTAAAACTTGAATGTAACTCTAAACATGTCATAATGATTTTTTTTTTTTGAAATTAACTTAATGGCAGTGCCGCATTTCCCCTCCAAACTTCGAAGATACGCTACAAACAAAACCCAGTCGAGCCACCTTATGTAAGTCAGTTCAGGATTATTGATGACGTCACTACATCGTCACTTTTTCATTTCGGACACCCTTAGCTTGTGTAAGTTTCTGGATCTGCCAGGAATATTTCACCATTCAACTTCTCACTTTTGTAGAATTAATACTTAGCATTAAAATGCTTCAGGCATTAAGTGTAATTTAATAAATTATGAATAGTCCCCTTTTTGATAGCTTCCTTTGCTATGGAATTTTGTTTTTTATCCAATTATTGATAATTGCTACCATAATCCTGTTGCTATATGGCTTTTTTCCCCACAGGCTTAACCAGTATCATCACCATGGATCTACATTCTAAAGAGATTCAAGGCTTCTATAATGTACCTGTTGATAATTTGAGAGCATCACCTTTCATTGTGCGATACATATCAGAATCAGTAAGAAGTTTTCTTTTTTCATTTCCCCATATGAAAACTATGAAAACTGCCCAACATCCTTATTGTAATTAAAATGCTAACCAGAAAAGATGTATGAATTCAAAAATATTTGACTTAGGAAGAGTGAAGTCATTAAACCCGTGAAATAGACATTAGACTAACACACTTTAGTAGACCCTAATTCCATTGTTTTCTTTTGTGTCTATTTGGTTATTACAGGTTGACTAATAATTTCACGGGTTAAATGCCTTCACTCTAACCCCGGGGGGGGTACTCCGACAAAATTTGGGTAGGGGTGTTCCACTGGAATTCTGAAAGGGGTACCCTGTTTATGACAAAAAAACCCAAATTTGTAGACCCTGTTCATGACAAAAGATATAATTAATTGCACTGAGTTCCCTTTCAATTATCATGTCATCTAGCGTATCGTTTTGTACGACCATAATAACCAGTTTCGGTCAATACGAAAGTAGAAACCCTGAATATGACAGGAAACTCAGGAAGAACTTGGAACTTGAGTGAAATTGCATACCCTGTTTATGACAAGGAGCTCGAAAAACCATACCCTGTTCAGCGGATCATCCCCGTATAGTCCATATATGGGAGTACCCCCCCGGGACTCTAACATTGACTTAAAATAGTTCTTTTATTGGTTAAGTGAGGGTTATCGCCTGAATCAGTAAATGACCAGTAAATCTTCTGTTCTTTCGCTAACTACCGTAGTTAGCGTGTTTTCGAGGCTACGAAACCTAAGAAACCATAAGAGGCAAATGTATAGCCAACAGATAGTATGAGCTTATAAAATCAGCAAAAATACGGTTCTAAATTTTAACAAATTCCTATGAATTATGTATACCAAAATGTTCAGGGAAGCCCAGGGTTTCCAAATCCACTTTTGCTTTTTTGAAAGGTTCTGTTTTATTTCAAGGAGAGACGATTTTCTAGCTTGACCCCGGTTATGTCATGCATTTTCTCTTGTAAAATACATCTAATAGCGTACATTCAACTCAAAAAGGACAGTGGTTTTTTTTCAATAGAATTCAATCTAAACCGTATAATGCAGTCCGTGAATAGTTGAATTTTTGGTAAACAAATACAAGATCGTATGTGAGTTGTATTTTTAGCATCATCGTCATTTTTCATGCATTTAGCTCGCGAAATCAAATTCTTATTTCCTAAACTGACTTCTCAATATTTCTTAATTGCTATATAAACAAAACACTTAATGTCTGGTCCCTCGGGAAATTAGTTTTGTTATCCCGAGAGTCTCTATGTTTCACGAGGTTTTCAATTATTACTTAATAGACCTTATTCGTGTTGTGACAATGTTTTCCCAATTCAGCGTGACAAACCTCCAGGGGATTCATTTTCTTTTGTTTTTACTCTTCGAAAAATTCATGAGTATCCCAAAGGATACGAAAGGAATAACAATGATATCCCGACAAGTCGCAAAACAATAGCTCTTCCTTCCCCCAGAGGTTTGTCACGTTGAATTGGGRAAACATTGTCACACCACGAATAAGGTCTATTGGACAGCCTGGATACCTATTTTATATACTGATTAATGTGTTGCTAGGCAGAAAGGTCGATATTAATTTTAGTCAGAAAAGAACATTTTTTTGTTTTTGACTGTTTTTTTTTTTAAATAAGTCTCTCCTTTGTGTTTATTCATTTACAGGTGCCTGATAACAGAAATGCTGTTATTGTTGCAAAAAATCCAGCTTCTGCCTACAGGTATTAATTACAGCTTTTATAATACATCTTATTCAGAGGCTTCAGCCAATCCCTGATATAGTGTGAACTTGAATGAAATTTGTATTATCTTTAGGTTTTCCTGTAATACATTTATCATGTCGGGTTCGCTCTTGGTCCCGGCTGAGATTGGAATGCAATTGCTATTTTTTCGAAAGCAGTATTAAATTTTTAAGTCAGTTTAAGAAATGTATAATAAATATATTTAAGAGTTTTAGACTACGAGGTCGAGTTTGCTATTAGTCATGAGGTGTCGAATCGCTGACTATTTGACTCGGAGAAAACGAGAGCGAGTCGTCTTAGGCCTACCCCGGGTCATTAAGTCGCCTTAAATCGCCTTAAATCGCCTTAAGTTTGATCTTTTCAGACTTATGTTTTGCATTTTTGTTTTCATTACTTCTATCATTCATGCATTCATGCATTATTTGACCACCATAACCAGAATGCTTTGCAAATTCCCTCATGAGAAAATTTTGAAAATTGATGAAATGAACAAAACAAAGGAATTCTGGTAGCAGAGGTTCATGAC